AAATCGCCATAACCGTAGCATGGCAGTAGCAGCAGCAGCAGCAGCAGCAGCAGCAGTAGTAGTAGTAGTAGTAGTATATAGTAGTAGTAGTAGTAGTAGTAGTAGTAGTAGTAGTAATAGTATTAGTAGTAGTAATAGTAGTAGTAGTAGTAGTAGTAGTAGTAGTAGTAATAGTAGTATAGTTGCAGTAGCAGTAGTAGTAGTAGTAGTAGTAGTAGTAGTCTATAATAGTAGTAGTATAGTAGTAGTATAGTAGTAGTCGTAGTAGCAGTAGTATAGTAGTAGTATAGTAGTATATTGGTAGTAGTGGTAATAATAATTTAGTAGAAGCAGTATAGTAGCAGTATTATATAGTAGTCGTCCTAGTAGTAGTATAGTGGTGGTAGTATAGTAGTAGTAGTAGTTGTAGTAGTAGTAGTAGTATAGTAGTAGTAGTATAGTATAGTAGTAGTAGTATAGTATAGTAGTAGTAATACAGTAGTAGTAGTAGTAGTAGTAGTAGTAGTAGTAGTATTACTAGTAGTAGTATAGTAGTAGTAAGAGTAAGTAGTAGTAGTAGTAGTAGTAGTAGTAGCAGTAGTAGTAGTACTAGTAGTACTAGTAGTAGTAGTAGTAGTAGTAGTAGTAGTAGTAGTATAGTAGTAGTAGTAGCAGCAGAGTATTACTAGTAGTAGTAGTATAGTAGTAGTAGTAGTAGTAGTAGTAGTAGTATAGTGGTAGTATAGTAGTATAGTAGTATAGTAGTATAGTAGTATAGTAGTATAATAGTATAGTAGTATAGTAGTATAGTAGTATAGTAGTATAGTAGTATAGTATTAGTATAGTATTAGTATAGTATTAGTATAGTATTAGTATTAGTATAGTATAGTATAGTATAGTATAGTATAGTATAGTATAGTATAGTATAGTATAGTAGAGTAGAGTATAGTATTAGTACAGTATAGAGTATAGAGTATATAGTATATCGTATATAGCATATAGTATATAGTATGTAGTACATAGTATATAGTATATAGTATATCGTATATAGTATAGTGTAGAAGACCTTACTGCTAACGTTACTATGCTTGATATTATGCCACTCTTCCCTGGCATGGCATTCCTCGGAAGACTTTAACGTCCTGCCGGCTCCCAGATCAGACAAGAGGCATTCGGGTAGTCCTCGTGATCGCAAACCGAGGAAAGATCCTGGTTTCCAATCATTGGAGTACTTCCATGCGGATACTCTAGGGGCCTTATATTAGAATAAGGTTTCGGAGTGTATGATACTATACTTATAGTAAGGAACCCCCCAAAATAGTAGATGATTTTTTTTAGGCTGCCTTGCCTGTGTTACATGCCGCAAGCTATCCTTTTCCTCCGCCCAGCCTGTGCCGGAGCAAGTGGCGAAAATGCCAGCAGGATCAAGCAGGCCTTAGCAGCGACACGCGGAAAACTGTGTAATGCAGGAACCTTAATAACCAGAATATGGTTTGGGGTATATTATACCACAATTATAATAAGGAGCCCCCAAAGTAAACTAGCTAATTATTCAGGTCCCTACATTATGCACACCCCTCCTTTCCTCATGGGGCTTCTTTTGCGGTTCTGCTGCTAGCATGGCTTCCTCCCTAACACTTGGTGGGGTTATAAGTCCCCTAATCTGGATTATAAGTACGAGTATAGTTAGCCTACTTATAACCCCACTTATAACTACCCATACTTATAACCCCACTTATAACTACCCATGAACCTCCCTAACACCCCAAAAACCCAAGGCCAAGACCTGCCTTCCTTCGGGGCTGAGGCTGCTACCAGGTGCTGGCTGACGCTGCCTTGTGGACGGTTTAGGGTTTAGGGTTTAGGGTTAGGGTTTAGGTTTAGGGTTTAGGGTATAGGGTTTAGGGTTTAGGGGTTAGGGGTTTGGGGTTAAGCTTTCCGGATCTTGAGAGGGCTCTGCTGCCAACGTCATCTCCAGGTAAACCTACTTGGAGGATCATGGGACTTAGTAACTAGGGTTATAAATAAGGTAACTATAATTATAACCCCAGTTAGGGTACTTATAACCTTACTTACTAAGTCCCATGATCCTCTAAGTAGACGAGTTGAATTGATACCGAGGTTGCACAGACTCTTGGACTTCACTCTGTTTACGTGTGAAGTGTCCTTCGTCCTTTTCTTCCTCCCCTCCTGCCCCCTCGGACCTGCTCGGCCTGAGACCACCATGGCCGCAACTTGGCTCTTGGCTTCTGGCCCTCAGGCACCTTCCCTGAAAGACAACTGGCTAATGAGTGACGCCCTTGCGTAGGTAGGACGGCTGGCGATTTGTGGGGCATCCGCGAAATTGCGAAGTACCTAGTATGTCCATGTCCCAGCATGTCCCAGCATGTTTGAGCATAAAATGCTGCCGGATGTGAGACTCGAGGCGTGCTCTCTGTGGCTGTTCGAGACAGCTCACACTGTATTATCATGCGGGCCGCAAGCATTCATGGATGTAGCAATCGCGGGTACGTGCGTACTCACCAAGTACCCGGAAAACCCTGCAGTCGCCATCAGCGCAGCACCGAAGGAGTCCCTAGCACAGCCCACCTCGCCGGAGGGCGACCAAGTCTTGAGTTTGAGCCTCTCGGAGCCCCACTAAACCCTTGAACGCCCCCCCCAAAACCACAACATCTAACAATCCCCAACTCCAGGAGGGCCACAAACCCTACCTCCCCGGAACTAAAACCCAAAGCAATGGAGGTACCGAGGACTCCAAGAAGTTGTTTTTGTCCGCTAGGAGACGTCACCAGCCAACACCGTCTTCTGCTGCTTCTCAGCCTTGACAAGGATTCGACTCGAAGGTCGTCAAAATTTCGGGGCCTTGAGAACTAAAAGAGGCTCAGAACAGTTTGTGCGTGTTTAATGTCGGTTTCCTCATTATGGGATCTACAAGGGATCGATATGAGACCTTGCTGGTGAGTTTAGAGTAGGGTTTTGAGGCCTACTCCCGCAGCAATATATGCGAGAACCCTATAAGGAATAACGTACAGTCCTTTTATTAATTGTAGCATTGAAACGGATGGAATTCAATCCGGGTCTCGGTTCTAGGTGTCCGATTGCATAGACTGCTGTCTTCTGTGATGGCCCGTCTCTCTCAAAGCCTTCGTGTCAACCTTCTCTGACTCTACACTTCAGGGTTTAGAGTTTGGGTTTAGGGTTTAGGTTTTAGGGTTTACTTCACTGAAGTGCGCAGCCAGGCCTGCAGCTTCTCGACCAGCTCTGGTCTGTCGAGCAAGTACTGGGTCCAGGCTGCGCGCCAATTGGAGTGTACCTGATATGGAGGGACTTCGATAACCCTAGACCCCAAACTCTAAACCTATGGCTGTGGTGTGTCGCCACGCATAGGTGCCCGGTCTAGCTGTGTCGTACGAGATCGACTCGAATCCGCCTTTAGGCTTCGGCCCTAGATCTACCATTTGCGAATACCGGTCATGAAAGCTAACATCTCTGGCGGCGGCCCTGAGTCAAGCGGTGGCGGTCATTCATCATGCTAAGTAGTATGTTAAGTTAAGTTATGCCAAACTTTTTCCACCTTCACCCAAGCCCTATAAGATGCTCCAAACTCAACTCCGACGACATGTCTTTCGCCCTGATCGACCTGCATGTCAACCATTTGGTTGTCCATGATGGATGCGAGAATCACGGCACCAAGTGCCACGGCCTGCCAGGACCGACTACGGCGCTCCGAGACGGGGCGAGTTTTGGCGAGAGTGTACGCCTTTCCCGGAGTGAGCTTCAAGCAAACCTAAAGATGAAACTTGTCGTGTCAAAGTCCCAACAAGCGCCCTAGCAAAGCACTAGAAGACTGTATGGATTTGTGGGAAGTCTTGTCGGACGCCCGAAGAAAAGCTAGATGTTTCGAAAAGCTGATCTCAACTTCAGTGTCGAGTGGCCTATTCAAAACCTGTACTTATGCTCCGAAGCCTAAGCCCCAAACAGGCCCCCAGCCGTCTCCGGATCGATGACGGCGTTGCTTGGTTGCACCCCGGTGCACAATGTCAGCATCTCTCGCACAGCTGGCGTCCTGCAGTTCCAGGGCCGGTTTCGGGTCTAGTGTATGGCGTAGCCGTTTAGGGTCGGGTCTGGGCCCCGGAATCAGGATTGCTTGGTACCAATAGCTTGAGCTTGGAACAAGACTGCTACCGCTGTCGCCAGGTGTAGTAGCTACAGTGATGCTGCAGCAGCGGCAATAACAAAAATAACAACAATACTCTTGCAAAAATAGAGGAAATCATACTCGTGATTGTGATGAGGCTGAGAATAACGATATGAAGAAGAAGCTAATAATACACATACTAATATTTCAAAAACCACGGTCGTTGCACCTGTTGCTATGGTATTTAACCGATGGTGACCCTTGCTAGTGTTATTGGAGTTCTTGGTGTTGTTGTCCCTGTTGCTTTTGCCGCTGTTGGCACCCTTCTAACAAGCCTGGTGTCCTCGACCAATAGGCTGTACTAGATTAACTGTCAAGTACTTCAGTATCGTCAAATGGTAGTACTTGCCAAAACTTTTACAGCATCACTATTCTCGGTCGGATGTCTGGTGGCTTGGATCACGACTCCATACCGCCATTTGTGGGGCTGAGTGGAGCTATAGGAGAGAGCCTGCAAGTGATCGGAACAGTCAGGCCAACTACCCAGCGATCTTGTCCCCGTGCAGCGGTCCAGGTTGCTGCACCGATCAGAAGGATCTCGTCCACCATGATCTCCTCCCGATCCTCACGCAGATTAAGTAGCGGATATCAGCTTGGCCGTTAAGTGCAGAGCCAACTAACCCGAAGGCGTGCCATTGCACTGGCCCCTCAAGAGCTGCGACTCGTCGGAAACTAGAAGCAACCCATTCAGCTCATGTACAGTAGCATCTACGCCAACCTAACAATCCCTTCAGCCTCTGCGTCTTTCATCCCGTCTCCTCCACGTCGGTCTTCTTGTGCTTGGCTCGCAATGACCGTGTCTTCTTTTGGAGGTCCTCCGTGGCCGACATCCGGAACTGAAATGAACTGAATGGAAAACAAATGCTGCAGAAGACAGCTCGCACCCTTAACACTTGCTGCAAGTCGATCTCAACTCTGCCAGTCCTTTTCGTTCATCTTCCTGACGGTGCACAGGCTGAACACACCATGAACGTCGTGACATCACAGAACTAGATTAACTAGATCTCCACACTCTCCTTTGATGTCCGCGCCTCTTCTTCGCCTTGCGGGCAGTATCCATGGTCTCAATCGCCAAGCTTTCGAATGGCAGTCCTCAACCGCGCAAGAAGCGTCAAAACAAGTTACATGCTTACTGTAACCTCCAATGCGTGTAAGAAAGAGCAGTCCACAAGCCTCTCTTCTTCGATGCACCGGCAAGACACAGTTGAGGAAAATTCGGCACTCGCCCAGCAAACGAGACTTTCAATCAATGACCACAGCGAGGAACTATCATCTGCACTGTTCCATGCGCACATGCATCTGTGTATGTGAACATTTCTGGCCGCACAAACCAGAAACCGCCTCCCTAAACCCTAAGCCCTATACTATACTATACTATACTATACTATACTATACTATACTATACTGTATGTATGTTTTTTTTTTATTCTTGTGGCCTAAA